AGAGAGAGAGAGAGAGAGAGAGAGAGAGAGAGAGAGAGAGAGAGAGAGAGAGAGAGAGAGAGAGAGAGAGAGAGATGTGTTCATTTCAGCAGGGGAATACAGGGTAGTTCATTCTGTCGAGATGTATCTATGGCCGGAGGCAAGATCGAAGGTAGAAGCTGATCAAAATCGATATCTGGCCCAGGTCTTCTAGAAGCTGCCTAGTTTGTATCAGCGAAAAAAATAAAAAATCGAATGATGCTTTTATATGTCTTGGACTCTTGGGTTCAATCGTGTAAGAACTTATATAAATATAAATGTTTTGTAAGTAGTGCTGCCGTTTCTATTAAACGGAAGAGCTTTTGGTAGAATGCACGATGTATCTGACGCAGTATATGTCGTATTTGTCGTCATGTTGTGGCATCCAGGTCGCATTGGGATCCCTTGCGTGGCTGCGTCGGGATCGTCGCGTACAACCTGAAAGGGGTTCTGCCTCGACCCTCCCCCGAACCTCTTCCTCGTTCGTCTTCTGGATTGCAACTCAAGACGTGTATGTATGGTTTTTTGAGGGGTCGCGCGTGTATAAAAGTATATATATATATACATACACATAACGCACACCAGGTGAAGAAAATGGCTGGATCGAACGCTCACGAAATTCAGTTCATGAGAATGGCACTAGAGGAGGTATGCGTATTATTTCATTCCCTCGGAAAGTCTTTTTTTTTTTTTTTTTTTCCTTCCCCTTCCCCTTGGAACATCGTTCTGCAGCATTAACGTTCTTCTTGGCCCTTTATATTCTCTGCAGCATTTATTTTCTTCTTGGCCCATTCTTTGTCGGGAAATCCGTGGAAATGACATTGAGGTTGACGAGCGACTAAAATATTCAGTCATGTACGTGTCTCGCACTCGCGTGCAGGTGCATCATCTGCACCTGACCCTTGGTGGTGCCTACATACGTTTTGATATGGCTATTTTTTTCTCCCGTCAACCTGCGTGAGCTCCATTCTTCCTGCCGTTGTCTTTTTTTTTTGGATAATCGGTTAATGAGACAGCGGTATATTTTGGTTATTCTGGAATGTTACGAGCCAATTGAGAACCGACGTTAATGCATGGTCCTTTCCAGTCTATTGAACGCGAGTTTTCGGCAAGATTCATCATGATAGTCAATGACTCATGAGAAATTCTTGCAAGATTCATCATCAGCAGAGACTCGTCATATATTTTGTTTATTCTGGAATGTTACGAGCCAATTCAGAAACGACGTTAATGCATGGGCATTTTGTGTATTGAGCGCGAGTTTTCGGCAAGATTCATCATGATAGGCAACGACTCTCATGAGAAATTCGGCAAGATTCATCATCGGTAATGACTCTCGTCAGAATCGAGTCGGAATTAATAATTATTGTCGTGGATGCAGACTTGACGAGATCGTTGGTCAATTCGGTCTCCGCCGCTTCGTGAATTTGTTCTCCATGCTCTTATATTCGTTAAATGAGTTCCCCAGCTCATGTGGCTGAATGGTACACCCTTGAACTGTTGGTATGCAGGCCGGAGTCGGGTCCTGAAAGAATCAGATGAAATTCACTGAATGGAGTCAATTGACTCTGAATTTCCTTGGGCTTATCAGTTCGCCGATTGTACCTCGAGGTCAGGAAAAGGACCAAAAAACGGAACTTCGGCGACGAGGGCTGGTGGTTGTAAGATTTTTATTTTTTTAATTTTAATTTATTTATATTTTTAGGAGTCATTAGGAATGTGTAATCCGAATACAGGACTCGAACACACAACCAACGGCTCGGCAGGCAAACACCTAACCATAAGGCTAAGTGGGCTGGGGTGAAAGTGAAGCCCCAAGATGAGCACTTCACCCCACCCCAGCACGGAGATCCCGCGACACGCTGTACCCAACCACACTCACCCGTACGCAGCCACACGGCTCATAGTATAATATCTACGGCGGTTACTGCGCGAAAGCACGTGTTAGGAATGGTCTTGGGTTTGATTCCTCAGCTTTGCCAACATCGGTGGCTGCTTTTTTTTTGTGTTTGTTTGAGGATTGTTTGCTATTGCACCGGAAGTCCATGCCGCTCCTCATACCCACGTAGACCCACATATACGTGTCACATGCCCACATGTACCCAGGTGTATCCACGTGGGTATATACCCGCGTATACCCCCAAATATAATCACATGGATACACCTACGTAAACCCACGTATTACCCACCTATGCGTTCGTATACCGATGGGTAGCCGATCTATTGCGAAGGAGTCCAGAACCACTGGAAGTACATGCCGATTCTCAGATCTATTGCAATTGTTTAGTCGACGAAAAACATATTTACGTTCCATGATTTAACATCTTTTTCTTTGTTGGGGTCTATTCTTTTTTCCCCTGGCCGGTGCCCCCCGTTGGGGGTTCCCTGAAGGCTATCAGGCCACCCTAAGGCTATCAGGCCACCCTGGGCTGAAAAGGCCACCGTTGTCAGATTAGACACAAGATTGAATTTACCTGGGCTGGTTAGTCCGATGATAATACCTCAAGGTCATCGCCCATTAAAAAAAAAAAAAAAAGAAAAAAAAAAATTTGGAAAGTAAGAATCAAAATAGGAAAATGGCAATCCTATGTTGATTCTTTTATATGCATGTCTTTCAAAACATACATACAAAAAATAAGAATAAAAATAGGATTCCCACTTATTTTTTAAATGTAAAATCAATTCCAATTTTGATTATTATTTTTTAGATTTATGTTTTGGGAATATAGAGTTTTGTGTTTAGACATTAAGAAACATTAAGTCATTATAACAAGAAAAAAGGAGTATATTTTTTTACCGTAACCAAAGAAAGAGCCTGCTAATACAGGCCCGACGCTCGCCGCATCATCTACGAAAGCAGAGAGAGAGCAACGTCGGAGTATACATCACCACATGAATATCAGAGCGCGAAGGCGAAAAAAACAAAAAGAAACAAAAAAGATATCAATTGGTTTTTTATCTTCTTCCTTACAACTCCCCCTGTTCAGAACCTCTTGCATACAAGGCCGCCCACGTGGATGTAGGTTGAGCGGCGGCTGTCCCCACCCCCGGGTGTCATATCGACCCACTTGCACACAGCCAAAGGGCAGAGAGGCAAAGAAAAGAGGAAGGGAACAGCTAAATACAACAAAACAGGGGGCAACAAGCAACAGCACCAAAAACAGATCCTAGATGACAAGTCCCACATGCGAGCACCGCCCCTCCACAGGCCAAACGACGGGACAATACCACCCAGGACAATTTAAACTCTTGTCTGCAAAAAAAGAAATCCCAGATTACATATCTATATACAGCGGATGGCCTTGTTCGGCATCAAGACGTCGGTATCCCCATTTGTAAACCGTTCGTCCTGGGACAAAAAACATAAAAGACAGTCCCAGATGATGGTTCCCACATAAAAGCACCGCCCCCTCACACAGGCCGAACAACGGGAAACAACCAACTAGGATGCCAACAAGATAAAACTTATGGTGGTATTTCGTTTTGCGGACCTACTGTATCGTTCCGTTTTTTTTTTGTTGTAACTATGGATATAATTGTACAATTTGTTTTGGTAATCTTATCTGCTGCATCCCGGTTGGTTTTGTCCCCGGGCCGTTATTTGGTCTATTTTGTAGCTTTCATGTGGGACCAATCATCCGGGCGTAGCGGTGCTTTCAGTTGGTACACCCACGAACTGTTGAAGTATGAATCAGACCCAAGTTCGAATCCAGATACAATCAGATGACCAGAATAAAATCTTTCTGAATTAGTACCCGGGGCCCCGTTAGTTCAATTATGACATCTCAAGGCCGTCGCCCTTTTTAAGACAGGAAAGGGAAGGGAAGAAAACAAAACAAAAAAAAAGGTGTTCCGGTCCTTTTTCAAGCTCTGATTCTCTGAAACTATTTTTGTTGTCATTCAATGTGGTTGCATTGCATGCAGGCCAGGAAGGCATTTGATCGGCAGGAAGTACCTGTCGGGTATGTATACACCACCGTTCCTTTGTTCAATTTGTTCAAAGTACAGCGTAGATTCTGAAGTGCAATGTGTTTTGTTCCATTTGCTCATTCAAAATAAAACATAACATAGGTTCATCAATCTGTTCACAAACACCCTTGCCCGCTGGAAACAGAAGTCATTTCTAAGTATCATCGCCTCGAAGCACTCCTCTCTCTCTCTCTCTCTCTCTCTCTCTCTCTCTCTCTCTCTCTCTCTCTCTCTCTCTCTCTCTCTCCGCAGTGTGTGGGTATGTTCTTGGGCGACACAGCTATTTGTGGTTTGGGCATTATGTGCAGCAATTTCTCACGGGCAGGGAGTGGGATGCAGCAATCCCGCTCATCTAAAAATGGGAGCGGATGAACCAATCTCACGGACCCACATGTGGAGTATGATATCCTATAGATGCAGGACTCGTATGAACTCGTAACGCTGCAGAGATGGAAATAATCCCAGCGAACGGATGGGCACCTGGAACGGGACTGGAGGTAGAGTCTAGCTGCACCTGGAACCACAACCTAATTGGTAAAACTGGACCAGGAATGCGACAGGACCACCTGCAATTGGATTCCACCTGCAATGGGCCTGCATCTGCAATGGGCCTGTATCTGCATTGGGCCCTCTGAAATGGGCCTGCAACTGCAATGGGCCCTTTGAAATGGGCCTGCAACTGCAACGGGCCTGTGTCTGCAATGGGCCTGCAACTGCAATGGGCCCTTTGAAATGGGCCTGCAACTGCAATGGGCCCTTTGAAATGGGCCTGCAACTGCAATGGGCGTGCACCAGCAGTGAGACCAGAGGTAGAATCTAGCCGCACGTGGAACTGCAGCGGGAATGGTAAACCTGGACCTGGAATGCGACGGTGCCTGGAATGCGACCCACCTGCAATTGGATTCGACGCAATGGGACTCCACCCGCAATGGGCCTGCACCTTTGTACTACGCATCGCTTGGATGCGAATTTAGAACTTCCGGATATTATTAGCAGATCCTTGCCAGCTGTGCCCGATGGCATTTGTTGAAACTGCATGTGTTATCTCTGAAAAGGAAAAAAACACTTGTGCATGATGTGCTTCGACTTGCAGCGTATATTTTCACCCTTTCATGGCTCCTTTTCAAATTTGAAATGGCAAAATCGGATACTCAAATTTTGGGATATTAAGGGCTGTTGAGTCCAGCATTTGCTCCTTGGAATGGGACCGTAATGGGCAAGTTCTAGTCGGAATTCAATGGGTTGTTTCAACTTGTTTGACAGATCAATTTGGTGTTATATGTTGGTTGAAGTGGTTGAAATTTTCCCAGTCTGAAAAAAAAAGTGGGTGCCTAGTACCAGGCACCTCTCGAACAGAAATTGAAAAACGGATGTGGTATAATAGGGTGTTTGCTGGACCAGGTGCCGAATTTCAAAATGGATGTTGAAAAAAACGGATGTGGTATAGTAGGGTGTTTGCTGGGCCAGGTGCCGAAAATGGATGTATAGTAACGGTGTTAACTGGTGCCGAATTACGAATTGTATGCTGAGGAGGGAAGGGAAGAGGTATTACTAGGAGCAAAAGGAAGAGGTATTAATAGAAGCTCAGGAGGGAAGAGAAAAAGTATTAATAGGAGGGAAGGGAAGGGAAGAGGTATTAATAGAAGGGAAAGGAAGAAGTATTAATGGGAGGGAAGGGAATAAGTATTAATAGGAGGGAAGGGAAGAAGTATCAATAGAAGAGGAATTGCCATGGTTAATGGTGATGGGAATATGTTTAGGAGAACCTGTCTGGAAGATTTTTTTTTTTTTTTTTTAATTAAAAGGGCGGCAGCCTTGAGATATGATCATTGAACTGACCGCCCGGTCAGATTTTAATCTGTCTGGAAGATTGTGTACGTGGTTATGCATGCCCCTGAAAGTATTTTTCAAATTATTTTCTAATTATGTTATGGTCATGCCCTGTCCTGTCAGGTGCGTTATTGTTCACAATGGCGAGGTGATTGGTGCTGGTAGTAACCGATCAAACGAAACTCGTAATGTAAGAATAAAAAATCCTTCTCTCGAACTTAATGCTCTCTTTTTCTTTTACTTTTCTATTGGTTTGTCTTTCTGTGGACGTGCTATCTTTTTCTTTTGCTTTCAATGTGTGTTTCTGAGGATGATGGCAACTTGTCTTTCTGCGTATGATGGGAATTTGTCTTTCTTGCTGATAATGGGTTTCTCATTATCATATCATTATCATATCATTATCAAATCATTATCATTTTTCTGATTCTAGTATCTGTCTCTTATACACATCTAGATGTGTATAAGAGACAGGCCATATCATTATCATATCATTATCAAATCATTATCATTTTTCTGATTATCTAGTATCATAATCGTCTAGCATTGACTTTTTGTTTTTTCAATCTCGATACCAAGTTGACGGGTCTCCATCGGCTACAGCCAAGCAGAGAATGCAAGACTCTGTGCACAAACGACGATTCAAAATGAAGGTTGTGGCCGAGTAGATAATGTTGGAGGTGGCAAGCTGCAACTGACTGTCTACTGCGGAAAACGAGAAGCGTGAAAATAGCAAAAGATGATCTATTCTTTTCAAATTGAAGCAATTGTGGCATGTGAAAGCATACGCTAATATGCTGCTTGTTGACATTTTCTTAACTTTTGAGATGGATGAGCGGATGGACGTTGGCTGCAGGCAACCCGACATGCTGAGCTAGAGGCAATTGATGTTGTCCTCGAGAAGTTGGAAAAGGATGGTTCATCGGAAGAGGAGGCATCAAAGAAGTTTCAGGAATGCGAACTCTTTGTTACATGCGAGCCATGCATAATGTGTGCAGGAGCTTTGGCTATTCTTGGTATCCTTGTTTTTTTTTGTTTTCTTTTTGAGATATCTATTATCTGCTATTTTTTCAGTATTTGTTGCTTTCAGATACTGCAGTTAGGTGCTGTTTGAAACCTTTTTTTTTTTTTCCCTTTCCTGCGCTTCATTGTTATTATTATTATGATTATTATTGTAATTAATAATAGATATTCATATATTGTAATAAGGAAGTGATTCAATTGAATGATGTATTCTGATGAACCGAGTAAACATCATTATCTGATCTTGATTACTTGGGGCATATTTATACGCTAGGACTTCTGAGGATGAATCTAACTGCGAATATGGCCAAATTCGGTCCACAGAGTCTCCTTGTTTGACTATGGCCTGTTGAAGGGTGCATTTTCGGCTGACTGCTTCATTTTTTTTCGTTTTGTTTTTTCACGTGCTTTGTGTGTTGCAAAGAGTGAAGAAGCCAAATCCTGACGTATTGGTGTCAGACAGGTGCAAACAGATCACCTGCAGCATGTTTAATTCTGACCTACTGATCAAGCTATGTGTAAGTCGTCCTCAATCTTTTCTTCAAATTGAAAAGTCCCTTGACTCTGAGCGGTGGCAATTAGGCATCGGGCAGGTGATCTTTGGGTGTCAGAATGACAGATTTGGAGGGTGTGGATCTGTTCTCTCTCTCCACACTGATGGAGCGAAGGCCTGTGGCGGCCCCAACCCAAGGTATCTTCTACCTATGACCCCTCATCCCACAGCATTCTTGTCTCCCTCTCCCTCTTCATCCGCAGCAGCCATCACGGTGGCTGTTTATTAAAAAACAAGGACTCTGCCAAGTGTTAAGTCGTAAGGTATCTTCTACCTATAACCCCCCATCCCACAGCATTCTTGGCTCCCTCTCCCTCTTCCCTCTTCATCCGCTCCCTCTCCCTCTTCCCTCTTCATCCGCAGCAACCGTCAAGGACTCTGCCAAGTGGTAATACAATGTATGGAGTCTGAACAACTCCCCGATGCCTGCCTGGATTCTATTAGATTAAAAGTTATTAAACTTCATTTGTCAATGAGTCAGTTGAGTGAGAATCAAAGGTGTATGGGAAGTCTTTGGCCTTATGAGGTTTAGAATTTAATTTAGTCAATTAGGTCTAGTTATGCGCATACGAGCGGCTAGTTAAACCGCTGCCAGTACACAACCCCAGCCTTGCAGAAAGTTTTTTGTCGCCACAAAGTTGCACAAACAAAACTCGGATGCGCCGTGTGGCCCTCTGCGCCGTTTAAAAAAAAAAATTGGCGGCCTTCGAAGTGGTGCGGGTTTCATGCTGACGCCTGCAGGCCAATGTGTGATGTACTGGTGCTTGCTGTAACGGAATTGCGAACGGAGTAGCGGTCTGCACCCTTAGTATTTGTTGGGCATGTCTCTCAAGGCTTAGAACCAGTCAATCCAGTCAATCAGGACTAGCTATCATTGCTTTGCGGGCGCAACTGGACAAAAGGTTGTCATGTCTGATTTTTGTTTTGTTGTGTCTGCTTATGAGAGTGCACTATCCACACGTATTGGGAAGTAGAGGAATGTTTTTGTTGTTGTTTTCAACTTTGTTTTTGAAAGTGTTTTCGCTTTTTTTTGGGTACAAATGTGTGTCTTCTGTTGTTCTGATTCTTGGGCAAAACCATGGGCCATGTGCAACGTTGCTATGTGAATCGCAGTGCTCCTCAAGAAGACGAGAAGATGAAGCCATTCAAGTGCAAGGGTGGAGTGCTTGCAGATGACGCAGTTGCGCTGCTGAGAGACTTTTACGAGAGAGGGAATCCGAATGGTCAGTTCTTTGACTATACGCACTTTGGATGTGTTCTCGTTATGTTTTTTTGTTAAATTACATTCATAAAGAAGTATGATTACATATCTATGTTCAGCCTCTTGAGTGGGTGAATAAAGAATAACATATAGATGTCTTGATATCTATATATTATTTTTTACTTGAAAGCCAAGAATTGAATTGTTTTCGAGTAATAAAATTAAGCACTAGTTAACAAATCTTCTGTTAGTTCTCGAGGAACTTCTTTTAAAATTTAAAAGTTGTTTCAGCTTGATCTGTGAATGTTTTTGTTTTGCAATTTATTACTAGTCGATGGAACTTCACATTACATATAACAATGTTGTCTCCGGTCTCCTAGTGACAGAAAGCCTACCGTCTTCCCCCGAACACAATGCACCCTCATTCTGACTGTATCTGGCCGGAAACATACCTTATATACTTTCCTTTTCAGGGTGCGTTGTGTTCGGGGGAAGACGGTAGGCTGTCCATCAGGGTGCGTTATGTTCGGGGGAAGACGGTAGGCTGTCCATCAGGGAGGGTGCGTTATGTTCGGGGGAAGACGGTAGGCTGTCCATTTGAGGGAGGGGACGAGGGGCCTTTTGCGTGGTCTTCATTATCAGGCAGCCTAGACTGCATATGTCTGTGGAAGGAGAGAATAGGTTGAGTTGTCAGACAGCCAGCTATTACGCAATGAAAGCGACTGTTGTTCCTTCGAGACCTCCGTTTCAAGAATTCCAGGAAATCTGCAGAAAGAAGATCATTCAGGTGCCTGCAGAGGGATTAGGTGACCAAGGTGAAATTTGATCTGGAGGGGAAAAAAAAAAAAAAAAAAAAAAAACAGGGAACGCCATGCATTACAGATTCACAGAAAAATCCCTCCCTCCGTCTTATCATCCCTCACTCTGCAGACTGTGAGTGAAGGTTTGGTCCAACTTCTAAACGCTCATTTATGCAGTGCACTCCACTATTGGCACATTCTTATCGTATCCTTTTGCATCCCACTTCTTCACACAGACGTCAGATAATTTGAGCTTTGTGCAGTATTTCAGAGCTTCCTGTGCAGCCTACTACTGCACACAGATGTCAGATTAAGCAGCTATCCAGCTGTGGAAATGACCTGCTGCTTGCTTTGGTGTGTGCTGGTCATTGAAGACGTCAGATGAAGCATTCAACCCACCTCGGCCACTGGCAGAAATGCTGCTACGATCTTCAGCCGAACAGAACGCTCGGTCATTATCACTGTATCTAGACTGAACGTTGCACCAAGTACAGCTCTAATGACTGGGCATGCTGTTCGGGTGAAGACGGCAGTGCTTTGGTGGTGTGATGAAAGCCCAAACAATAGACTGTGCCGCACTTCCACGGATCCGACGGCCGGAAGGGGTGGAAGGTGGAAAGCTGCGAAGGGCGGGAAACAGCGGAGAGCGGGAAGCGGCGGAGGTTCAAGGGCGATGGTGAAAGACGGAGGGCAATGGCAGAGGGATGCAACGGAGGGCGGACAGCGGCAAAGGCTGCAGGTGATGGCGGTGGGGAAATGGCGGTGGTGGGGAAGATGGAGGCGGTAGGAAAGGATAGAGGCGAGGGAGATTGAGGAGGCGGCAGATGTAGAGTTTAACGGTACTGTTGATTGTGGTACCTCTCATGGGATGGCCGAAAGTCTCTTCTGCCCTTGCTGCTAAGGCCTGCTGACCATTTGTTTAGACCACCAGTACATAGCCCCAGCCAAGTTGAGAATCCGGTTGGGCCTCCCTTTTTTGGAGGCCTGGGACAAGGCATTTAACGGGCCATTTGAAAAACGTTGTGCGGTGGCATAGGCCCAGCCCTGATGTTTAACGGGCCATTGGAAATCCTGTTCATGCCAGTTTTTGCTGACATTTTTGTGATGGTGGCCAATGCATGTCTTGTGCGAATGCATTCAAAAGAATCAAATCTACCGGTAGTTTTTCAAAATCTACTCGGAAAAGTTTTTGAGGCAGGTCCAGTTTTGCTCACGTTTGCCATTGCAAAACAGCCTCAGGCTCTGCCACATTGCCAATGCAGAACAGTGTCTATCACATACTTCTGCATACTTCCTGGAAGATAGTTCTTCTTGTGCACAGCAACCCAGAGCCTTGGTGTATTGCAACTTTTGCAAGTAATATTTTTCTCATTTTTCTTGTGCAGCATCTGTTTCGTTGCTTGACCGGAAAAACATATTTCCGCTGATTTTTTTGTGACGTTGGCCCATGTCTTGTGTGAGAGCCTAGAAACATGAAAAAAAAAAACAAACATACTCGTGAAGGTTTTACGAAATGTATACCTGATGAAGTGCTTGTCTAGTAGGATACTAAATGTTACAGAAGTCGGTGTTTTGAACGCTTGGTGGTGCTGTCCATTGGTTTATTCTTTTTGTGGCTGTTTCGCAGCTCCAAGACCTCATCGGGCTGTTACTGCCGCTTGAGTCGTTGCTCATGGAAGCGCAACTGAAGGCCAATCAAGGATCTTTTTTTATAATAATAACATTGCTGGTTGATGTAGATTCGTTATCGATGTAGATTTTTGGGCATTGTCATTTTAATTATTTGTGTCAATCCTTCACATTGTGAGGTTGCAGTTCGGGATCACTCGTGGTGTTCTGCCAGATCCTGGAGTCTGTTGTGACAATAAATATGCAATTTTTTTTTTTATTATCATCAAGGTTGCGAGAGGTTGTGACCGGTTGGCTTTGCCAGCGTCATTTGCCAGCGTCATTTGCCAGCGTCATCGCTTCTCCTGCACATTGTGCACATGCTCTGGCCAAAATGTGGAGGTGGTCAGAGCCTTGAAGTTGATCAGATATGCATGGCAGTATTCTTCTTTTTGCGGATCACCTATTCTTGTGTGCGCATCTTCAAGCCTTTTTTTCTTTTCCTTCTTATCTGTAATGTTTTTTTTTTTTTTTTTTTTTTTTGTGTGTGTGTTTGTGTGTGAGAGAGAGAGAGAGAGGGGTGTGTGTGAGAGAGAGGGAGAGAGAGAGATGTGTGCGTGTGTGAGAGAGAGAGGTGCGTGTGTGTGTGTGAGAGAGGTGTTTGTGTGTGAGAGAGGGAGGTGTGTGTGTGAGAGAGAGAGGTGCATGTGTGTGAGAGAGAGAGGTGCATGTGTGTGAGAGAGAGAGAGAGAGAGGTGTGTGTGTGAGAGAGAGAGAGAGGTGTGTGTGTGTGAGAGAGAGAGGTGCGTGTGTGTGTGAGAGAGAGGTGTGTGTGTGAGTGTGAGAGAGAGAGAGAGAGAGGGGTGTGTGTGTGAGAGAGAGGGAGAGAGAGAGAGAGATGTGTGTGTGAGAGAGAGAGAGAGAGGTGTGTGTGTGTGTGTG